CATCATTCATTTCTTTCTATTCTTTCATTTCTCTTCATTTCATTTCTTCTTAAATCTCTCAGCCACTACGCGTCGTAAACATGGCATGGCAGAGGTGATGTAGAAGATAGCAACTTTCAAAAAAAAACTAATTACCCACATTACTGAGCGTCTGTTACCATGCTCAGCTCAGCAACCAATAGGTAGCAGATAGGGTGGAATGTGACATTGTGATAAATTTGATAGTGCCTATTCTGCCATGTTTGTAGTCGCATTAACATCTCCTTTTTATGCTGCTACATAGAACGGGAGGTACATGATCATGGCGGTAAAATATGCTACACTTATCTGTGCTATCTGGCCATCCGTCCACTTCTCTTGGGCACTTTACCCATGAACACTGGAATATCTATAGCGCTCCACTTTTTGTAAACTCTTGCAACTCCTTTAAAAAATATGAATCCTCGTAAGGCCTCTCCTCAACTTGGCTCCCTTCATTTTTGTCTTAGTTCTATCAATCAAATTTCAGCATTTTTATTTTTCTGCTGCAGCTTTTGTTTAACTCTTGGGATTTCTCAACTGATGCTTTCAAAGGAGTTCCTGTAGAGAATGGTAAGCTGTTTATCCTGAAACTTTACGACTTCTTACTTTCAATTTATAACTCCATGTAATTTTTATTCTAGAAGAACTTACCAGATTGGATCTTATTATACAAAGAGCGTTAGCTGGTTTCAAACGATGGGATGCTGTGTACATGTTACATATTGCACAGCATGAATATGTCTTTGAAAATAGTTTGGCATTTTTTCCGTTCTACCCCATGACTATAAGGTGATTGATTGGTCGTTCGATTTCGAATTTTGATGGTAAAATTAAATACTTGTGTTGATCATTCTTATGTTCATAGTTGTAGGCTCCTTTCTATGGCTTGGGCAGCTCCATTTGTTCATTTCGGTTTTATACATGTGTCGTCCGCCTTGTTGATATCGGCAGTGGCGATAAACCTGGTTAGTTACCGTAGTACTTTTACAGTCTGTTGATTTTAAATACTACAAAATAATTTTCTATGATCTAGGGTTGCTTTCTTATCGCGGCCGCTCTTCTTTATCGCATTGTGCTGCGTGTTTCCCGTTCTGTTAAACAAGCTATAATTGCTGTGCTGCTGTTCTCGGCAAACCCAGCATCGATATTTTTCTCTGCTGCATATACAGAATCGGTATGTTTATGTTAAAATCAAGCTTTCAATGTGATACCATTTGTCATTGTGTATCGTTCAGCTTTACTGCATGTTAACCTTTGCTGGCATTTGCGTACTACTAGAGGATCGGCCGTCGTTTTTTATACGCTATCTCGGCTCTCTCCTCTGTTTCGGTCTCGCCTATGCTACGCGGTAAGTTTCTTTCTGAATTTTTGTATTTCTTGCTATTATTTGCGAGAATGTAAGCTCGTAGTTTACAAAATATTGTCTGCGTGATTTTTTTGGTGATTATGTGCATTGGGGGAAATAGTGCAATGGCAAGCTGTTTATAGCGCACACTTACCAAGGATCAAATCATGGATCGTCCAGGCCGACCAAGTCTTTCATACTTCCTCGGTTTGCTAATTGCTGCCAGACCTGTGGGAGAATAAGAGCACAACTCTTCCATTGTCTGGGAACTGCATGTCATTGTGCAGGCCAAATCGCCTGCAAAATACCACAGCGATTTGGACTGTAAGCAACATGCAAAAAAGGATGATCAATCGACGCGTTTGCTTTATTCTTTCTTTCTTTCATAGGGGAGGAGTGGGACTTGAAGGATCCCACGATGAGGTCGGAGGTCCGATAAGTAGATTTTTACCAACTGAGAAGACAGGCAGACCCTCTAAGGATGCGAACTGACACGCAATTCGCAGTGAAGGATATGCCCCTAGCGAATAGCATGGCCGGCTCCTTGGCGATACGCCTATTGACTGCTTAGCCATCAGCTGCTGGCCTTAAGCCATTTCGCACAAAGAGCGCTAGCGCTGAAGAAGGCTGCGCCGATGAGGGTCGCATTAATGCGAAAATCAACGGGCAATAAGGGCTCCCATTTCTCGGCTTCTGGAGCCGTTTCTTTTTTTTAATCCTGGCACCACTGACCACCACTAGGTGCCTTAGTCCTGATGTTCTGCCTTCTAATCGGAAACTCTACCTTCAAGGTTAGACGAGTTGAGGTCGCACGGTCATTTGATTTCTTGTCGAGGATTCAGGAGTTTTAGGAAAGTTTTGTTTATGTTGCGTTCCCCTCGTTTAACTTTCATTCAAAAGGGAACTAAATAATACTGTCTTGCCCCTTCCGACCTTTTTGAGTTGTCAGCAGAACATTTCTAACAACTGCCACTGATGTGATTTTGGATGAAAAAGTGATGAGGCAATTATATCATTGCAAATCAATGAACTTAGTAATACATTAAGCACCACGATCCTTTTCCAGATCTAATGGTTTGATTAATATTGGATATGTGGGCTTCTTTTGCTTGATTGATTTCATGCTCAATGTGGATCATGAAAATCCCAGGCGGCGTCGTGTGCTATTGCGAAGGCCTGTCGCCGTTATCGTTTCACGAGTAAGTGAGATATTTCTTTCTTCGTCTCACTTTTCAACTATTTGGTTATTATATCATGAAGGCCTATATCACGAAATGAGTTGAGGTGGTAATTGGGTGATCAGGAATAAGGAAAACATGAGCATGATCACCGCATAAGCGCAACCATGCCGTTCACCTTCGAAATCACATTTTGCGCAGGTCGTTCGGATGGAGTCGAGTACACCACTGCGTCATTTTGGCCGACCTCTTGTCCTAGATGGTTATAGAAAGGATCGCTACAAAGGCTCGAAAGATCACCCTTGGTAAATGGTAAATGGCACATTAAGGAGGAATATAGCAGAGCTACTTGAGTAGATTTATGGGCATGCGCGTCTACTCGCGAGCGTCTCTTACTTTCGGCTTTTTCTCTTGGTTGACAGTTGTCAGAATTTGCGACCCTTCACTAACTCGCGCGATTCGCTAGATATTTGAAGGGTATGAGCGATGTGCTGATCCCAGCGTGCTGTTGCATGAGCGATTCCATCGGTCTACGCTTAATGCCGCTTTTGAGCTGAAGAATGTATCATAAGATTATTAAGTACTGGAGTTTGAGATTCTTCATACATCACTTCGTTTTTAAGAAGGATTGAAGTCACTTAGATTGAGCATGTGCTGCGTGAGAAATTCGCTCCTTCAAGCTCTCATAGCTTTTTTATTTCAACACCTTGGAGCCCACG